ACAATTTGCTTTTCTTTTTGTCTTGTTTTTATTCTTTCCTTTTCCGTTCAAATCATGAGCTGATTATTCCTCTTTCATTGTCCACATAAGTGATTTTAAGTCCTAATAAATTACCGAGACCAGCTGAGACTATCCTAGCTCGAAAAGAGAAGATTTAATAGAACAAGCCCAGCGAGTTCTGAGAAAAAAACCATAGCCGTAGACAGAAAATATCAACCAGAAAATCTTTATTTCTTTACTTTACCTTTATTTTATAAAAATAAATGACCCATTTATCTTTATTTTATAAAAATAAATTTTTTTTTCATTTACTTATATTTACTTTTTAAATATAAATGACGAATTTATCTTTATTTTTTAAGTATAAATGATTCATTTACATTTATTTTCTAAAGTAAGACTAAATTAACACCCCTAACTGTAACATTTCAGTGCACAAGAATAGCCAAAGATGCTAATGAACGAAGGTTCCCTAATTCATTCCATTTCTGAAAAGACAAATTCAGATATTAGAGAACACAAATTATTTTATGTTAGTTTGAATTTTACAATGCTACTTTTTTTCTCATTTAGGATTATGCCCTCAGACTTCAGTTTGGAAACAATAGATAACGATATGGATCGAATTGATATTAAACCAGAAGACATTTCGGGATAGTCAATTCCAGTGTATTCTCAACTGTAATCATCCACTGTTAAATCAACATTTTTATTCAAAAATATTTGTGAAATACGAAGATCCTTTTAGCTTTAATTTTTTGACGTCTTTTCCGAACATGTCAGAAATTTACCGATTCGAATCCGTCTCGTGTCGCCTTGTACAGCAGCGACCACTTTTTCACTTTATCAAATAATCCATTTAGGTTTGTTTGATGTTGCTGCGTAATTAGCGTCCCAGAGCCCCAAAACATCATCAATTCCTTTTCCAGTCCAATCGTTCGTGATGTTGTGGGCCATTCATATAGCACGTGTTAACTTGTGGACACTCTGCTGAGATGAAAAAACATTGGATATATAAATGTGTGAATATCTAAACATTATCACCAGGAATTGATAGTGTTGAATTGGTAGCTGGTATTGATAGTTGGTATTGCTCGACTAGTTATTTCACGATGAAATTCGGCTTCAGATCTTTCGCCTTGATTGGTTTGCGGGTCATGGGACTCGTTTCATTGTGATGCCGCAGCCATTCAACAATTGCAGATCGTTCATATGTGTGACCGTCATCGGCTAGCACAGGATCGACAAATAATTCGAGTGTGATAGGACACCGTAGAATGGAGAGAAGAAGTGAAGATTGGTCTTCTGACGAAACCATAGCTTAAAAGTAAGTAATAAGTAATCATGAAATAGAATGATGCGATGATGGCTGTAGTCGCCTTTTATAGAAAAACATCCTTTGTCATGCTTGCGCAGCAAACGAACGAGGAGAACGCACCTGTACACGCAATGATGGCAAATACCTATTAAGAGCAGAATACAAACGTCATTACTGTACTTAGAGAACATACGCTGGTGACAAGAAAGGATGGGTTATATGTACAGATTGAGACATACAAATCTGAAAATGAATATACAGTAAAACCTCTATTAATGAACACCTCTCTATAGTGAACACCTCCCATGTTGAACAAAGTCTCGGTCCGACGGAGCTATTTTTGCTGGAAATACACCTCTCTATTCTGAACATGAACACTTCTTTACAGTCCCTCTAGCTACTATAACCTCTCTAATGTGAACATACGTGCAATGATTTTTTTTATCTCTATCTACTGTCTATCGTACGTGTCACGACTGATCATTCTCTCTCACGGACAAAAAAAGTATATTTTTCTAAGTTCTCCTCTATATTTTATTATTATATTTTCATTTGCATATCCATGGATACAGCATAAGTTAAACTACATATATGTATATCTATGAAGTCCGTTTCACTCACTTATTGTTTCGGATTTCTTCGGCATATACAAAAATGTCTCATTTCCGTGATATTGAACGAATACAAATAATAATTTATACTATAATAAGATATGAAAGTAGATCAAGAAAAGATGATAACTCGCACGAGACAGAAAAGAAAAAGACAAACAACAATAGAAGTTTTCTTTGTACAAAACTCAATCCTGTGTTGTATTTGAGGATTTTTTCAACTGAAAGATATTTAAATAAAAAGAGATGAACAAGATAATGAATAGCTCTTATTTCACTCAGGACTAGTGTAGAAGCAGAAATTCTGGAATTTTTTCTTCATTTTGCAGCAAAACATGCGTCACCTCTCTAAAGTGAACACCTCCCATAGTGAACACTTTTTGGACGGTCCCAATGGTGTTCACAATAGAGAGGTTTCACTGTATAGCTTAGGCAAGTTAGCACGTGCTGTCTGAATGGCTCGCGCGGATCACTAAGCATTCCGCCTGCGGACCCAGATCACACCCGCTTTCAAAATATTCATCGATCAATGTTTTGTATTTTTTACTGTCTTGTTCTTCCACTGCTAGAACAATAAAAAAGTTTTGTTTAACGATGGCCTTATAAGATTATTATTTCCTCTACTCTAGCAATCCATAACAAATTCCGCATTTTCTGCTAAGAGGTTCATAGTAGGAGGGGAAACTCACTCTCACTTCACTTACCACTGTACTCATACTTTCGTTGACCACCATATTCGTTTACTTTGATCAATTCGCCGTCATATCTTTCAAAATTCTGAACTATTATCGCTCAATTTTATTTAAAGATGAGCTTAGAAAAAATCTTAAATATTATCATCGGTGGTCATTTTTGGCAGCTGTTATTGACAGGTCATTTCTAACTACGTCTGGTAGAAATTAGATTGGCGCGTAACATATTTCAACAACTGTTGTAACATTCAAATATTAGTTTTTCAGAGAAAAATCTTAATATAATTTTTTTTGATACCACGTTTTTTTCTGTGGACTTTTAAATTTCTGTCTATTATTTTCTCTGGAGTGCAACTGCACATTGTTGCTAATCAGCTAACTATTTAGTAGAAAGTAATAATTCCTTTTTTCACAAAATAACTTTCAAATGTATTTCCATTCTGTTGACTCTTTTCTATAGTCTACTGTTCAACAGTAGAAACAGTAATATTAGTTATCGTTGTCAATCAGATTCTTTCTTTTCACTCTGCCACAGATGAGCACCAGCTGCCCGTATTTTAGTGGAAAAATTTTCGGGATTTAACGCATAGTGGGCATTCAGGCGGAAATTTGAGCAAAAATCGACAAGTGAGCTTTTTTGAATTCGAACAGTAGTAAATGTAGTCCTTGAAAAGCGCTATGCCGAAATCCATGGAGACAACCAGTATATACAAAAAGTTTGTCGCATTCATGGAGACCTATCTCTTTCGAAAGAGATAGGTCTCCATCAATGCGACAAACTTTTCTGTAAACGTGGTTTTTTACCGGTGGAAATCACACTATCGAATGGTATATAATGATCGACTAGTAATGAACTCCTTCGATGAGTAAGTTAACTTACGAACATTCACAAAGAACACCGTCAAACATGACACATCTGCAAAGATTCTTATTTCTATATACAGATGTGCAATATTATCCTATCCAAAGCACATATTCGGAATCAGCACAACCTATTGCATCTCCTGATAATAGAAGGTACTCCTTTTGCATCTTGTACGAAACGGAAAAAGGTCTAGTAGTCTAGATTACTACGGTCCGACATGAGACAACCTCAGTGCAGTGACAGCCTTCTGATTACATGAAAATGTTCCTCAGCCTATCGTGTATTTATGATGATCTCGTCTTTTCTCGTCTTTTTTTCTAAGTCGAGTTATTGATTTTACAAAAACCCATAGGGTTTTCGAGGTAATTGGCATTTTTCTCCCCCCATAAGAGCACTTTTTCCATAACATAAAGTCATATTCGGAATAACCGTGAAAAACTACGTCGAATGATATATAACTTTTTAATTTTTCTGCAGAAATATTTTCGGTCAAACTGAATTATACAGTTGAAAGCCTGTCCGCAGCAAATTTTGCTTAGGAAGTTGGATATTTATTTTAGCAATAGTACGCAAGTGTATAAACACATTTTTTATAGATTTTCGAATATGATCTCTTCAATAGTGAGGTTTTCGAAATGTAAAAATATTTTTTATAGGTTTTCAAGAGATTCGGTCTCTAGAAAACCCACAAGGAATTACTTCTGAGTTCTGAAAATCTCATCATTAGAAAGAGCATATTCGAAAACCAATAGAAAAACATGTTTATAGGCTTTCATACCAGTTCTACAGCATATGTCCGCCTGCTCTATAGAAAAATGCCCACTGCATTTGGCAAAAAACCGAAAGTACGCCTTTTCAAAATTCAAATAGTGTCAAATATACTAAGATAAATGGTCTGTTAAATGGTGCAAAACTTTTTGTCCCAAATGGTGAACTTTTGGAGATAATGTATACGGAAAAAATAGACTATGTATCAGAGGTATCTAAGGAAAAATCGAGATCTTCTGTAAATACGATATATAATAACTTAAGTACTCTACATTCTGAGGTTTTGAGCTTGTTGTGATGTTTTTTGAGTGAATAGTGTTCCATAGTCCGTCCGTCTTTCGGGTACCAGTCCTGGGACTCGTCGGAAGTCCGATACAAGGTCCGAACCGCGAAAAGTCAAGATCTCACTTTACTCCCATTTTGAAGAGAACACCTCGGGCTATCATCCCATGAAGAAACATCAACACATTCCTATGTGGATTTCGGTAAATTCAGGCTAGTTTTTCAAAGATCCTCTGAGAAACCTGCTTCAGAAACTTTTCCGAAGTTCGCTTTTGCTTTCAGAAATATGCGATCGGGTATCTAGTTTTCAAAACTGAAAACTGTAGGTCTCTATTTAGCTTCTATCAAAAGTTATTCGAAAGTAACCGATGGCGTTGTATTTTGGATCGGATAGTAGTTGACTTTGAAGCGCTCTAAAATGAGTAATTTAGGTAAAGTCGCGTTTCACCAATTCAACTTTCGCCAATAGACATTCGCCATATTGGCGACTGGCGAATGTCCACACGACATCCGCCAGATTGACATTCGCCAGTACCCCTACGACATTTGCCATAATTAGCGAATGTCCACACGA